ATTTACTTTCAGGCAGAGCCTCTCTGGACTTTTCCTGGACTAAATCTTTTTCATCAGCCTCTTGGATTCCCAATTGCCCTTTTCTGTCTTCACGTGCTTCTAACTGTGACAAATCTTTGGTATGGCACAACCAAAAATATTTGGTAATTTCACACACACACACACACACACACACACACGTTGAGAGACCTGAATAAGTAGAACTACCTTTTGTTTTCCCCAAAGCCTCTCTCTATATTCCCATTTATACAAAGTCACAACTGAGCATTTATAATTCCCACTCAGGATTGTTAGGAAGGGGGAGTTCAGTCCCAAGATGATTTCCAATTTGCTGGCTAGACTCAAGACGTAAAAAATGGAGCGCCTTGTTGATTAGGCAGAGCTCTACTGAGAGATGCAGGTTTTTTATTACTCTCCATGCTCTCTAAAACAGGAAAAGCATTAGGAAAAGAACCAACAGCAACAAGGAAGGCCTGCCTAACAACATCCAAGGAGGAGGCCCAGATTATCTCCTTTCAACAGAGAGGGAATCTCTGCAAGGAGCCCTGCACCTGTGCCCAAACCAAAAGGCTGTCAGAAGGAAATAGATTAGCTTGGCTGGCTCCGCTGATTTTATCTGAAATCATCTTTATGTGAGTGTTGCCTTCCCTTGTTTTTCCTATACGGTATATATCCCTTTTCCCAGTAAACAACTTCTCATATGAATTTGGCATCGGTGAATAACTGAATTTCTCATGAAAGCCTTCCCAGTGTGCAAGATTGCACCGTTGCCCAGCTGCCTATCTGCTGCTGGAAGCCCTTAGACCAGTGTTTCTCAACCTTAGCAACTGTAAGCTATATGGACTTCAACGCCCAGAATTCCCCAGCCAGCATGGCCTGAAAGGGCAACTGTCCCAACTGGATATTCGGCCTCCTGGCTACTCTCCCTGTTGGCTGGGGGTGGGCTGGCTTTCTTAGGGCTCTGATTTTAAGCCTTGAAATCTCTCTGGTTACACCTGTGGGTGTCAAATGAGTACAGCAGGATTCTCCAAAGGCGGGGGGAAGTCATTATTTTTGGAAAAGGCTGCAATCTCACGAGCTTGGCGAAGATGCCAATATTGGGGGGTGAGTAATCTCAAGTCTCAGGGAATTTGGCAATTCCATGGTGTTTTAATTTTTGCTCCATTGAATGTGGTAGTCCTGGTTTTGTTTTTTTTCCCTCCAATTTTTATTTATATTATGGTTAGTTTTATTTTTAATCTGAATTTAAGAAGATGGGGAATTGGATGACGCTCAGAGTTGGGTTTGATTGGAATGGTTTATAAGTGTATCTATTATCTTTATCTCTATCTCTCTATCTACCGTATTTTTCTGACTATAAGACGATACCTTTTTCTAAAATCCTTACCCTAAAAACTGAAGGGCGTCTTATTCAAGGAAATCAGCCGAGAATCGCGGTT